CACAACAAACACACACAAACACACAACAAACACACACAAACACACAACAAACACACAACAATCACACAACAATCACACAAACACACACAAACACACAACAAACACCCACAAACACATGAATACATAAGCACACAAACACACACAACTTTGTCTCCTACTACTGCTGTAAAGAAACACAAACACACAACAATCACAACAAACACACAACAAACACACAAACACACACAACAACACAAAACACACAAACAAACACACAACACACACAAACACACACAAACACACAAACACACACACAAACACACAACAAACACACACAAACACACACAAACACACACAAACACACACAACACACACACACACACAACAAACACACACACAAACACACACACACACACACACACACACAAACACACAACAAACACACACAGTTGGTGGAGTGACTGAGGCTGGAATTACATGATGGAAGTTGAATCTTTTCAGTCGACGTCGTTCTCTTTCTCTGTGAGTTTGACGCTAACTGGAGGCTCTGCTCTGTCTGAACCTCTGATCCTCCACTCAAACTTTCATCTGACTTTTGTTTTTATCTGTCATCAGTTTGACAGAAAGAACCGTCACAGGCGTCTGAACATCTGCTCTTTCAATCACTTTTGTCATTTTTCTTGAATTTTTAGACGATCTTAAAACTTCTCTGACGTGTGCGTCGTGTCACCGCTGAACATTTCACCATAGAGCTTCATGTAGAACACCTCCGACATGACATCACTGCAGAGTATCAGTAGTTTGAGGAGGTGAGAGCAGCAGCAGTGTTCATACAGTTTAGATTTTTTGGACTTGAATTTGGTTCACATTTTTATTTCCTGCAGATGTGATGCAAAAAATAAAACTGAATTTCTTAAATTCAAAATCATCTTGTGTTTTTGTCAGTAACGTGTGTTGATGCAGACACACGATGGTCCTGAATCACTCTCTCACTCTCTCACTCCTTCTCTGACCCTCTTTCTCCTTCTCTCCCTCTCACTCGCTCACTCCTCTCTCTCACTCCTCCTCTCACTCCTTCTCTCACTCTCTCACTCCTCTCCTCCACTCACTCCTTCTCTCACTCTCCTCACTCCTCCTCTCACTCCTCTCACTCCTCCTCTCACTCCTCCTCTCCTCCACTCACTCCTTCTCTCACTCCTCCTCTCACTCCTTCTCTCACTCTCTCACTCCTCTCCTCCACTCACTCCTCTCACTCTCTCACTCCTCCTCTCCTCCCTCTCACTCCTTCTCTCACTCCCTCACTCCTCCTCTCCTCCTCTCACTCCTTCTCTCACTCCCTCACTCCTCCTCTCCTCCACTCACTCCTCCTCTCACTCCTCACTCCTCTCACTCCTCCTCTCCTCTCTCACTCCTTCTCTCACTCCCTCACTCCTCCTCTCACTCTCACTCCTTCTCTCACTCCCTCACTCCTCCTCTCTCACTCTCACTCCTCCTCTCACTCCTCCCTCTCACTCCTCCTCTCACTCCCTCACTCCTCCTCTCACTCTCACTCCTCCTCCTCTCTCACTCCTCACTCCTCCTCTCTCACTCCTCTCACTCCTCCTCTCTCACTCCTCACTCCTCACTCTCTCTCACTCCTCACTCCTCTCCTCACTCCTCCTCTCACTCTCACTCCTCTCTCTCACTCCCTCACTCCTCCCTCTCACTCCTCCTCTCACTCCTCCTTTCACTCCTCTCACTCTCTCACTCTTTCTCTCACTCTCACTCCTCACTCCTCACTCCTCTCTCTCACTCCCTCACTCTCCCTCGTCTGTGTTTTCAGGAGTTTTAGTTCGACTCTTAAACTCTTCGTGACTCGTTCACTCGTTTGCAGTTGTTGGAGCCTACACAAAGTTTTGTAATTTTTGTCATATTTTCATTACTGAGATAATTATTATTATTTTGTTTGATTTAATATTTACTAAAAATACATATTTGATCATTTTGTAAGTCTTGATTTTTTGTAAATAATTTGATCTATTTACATTTTTCTTTCAGTTAATTATTGCAAATGTGAATCATAAGTTTAAGTTTATTTTTTTGTTTTATTTTGTGTCTGTGGCTCCTTATTTAAGACGAGTGCAGATGCATCATGGGAGTCGTCCTTTACCTGTTAAAATTCCCTTTTGTACATTTTTTTTAAGTCCTCAACTGGACGTGAACACTCAGTTAAGAGAGTTCAGATTCTCTCTGTGGATTTATTTCACTTTTGAGGCTTTTTAAAAGGTGGAACAGTCGTCACTTTAAGCTTCACAAAATGTTTGGACTTTACAATGACCAAACTTAGACCGTCAAATCTGCAGCCTCGTCCAGGATCAAACATCAAAACAACACAAAAAAAAAACACTCTGAAAACTTTTAAAAGACCAAAATCCAGCTTCAGTTTTCTTCATAAACAATTACAGCTTTTTAAACGTCTGAAACTCGACTCTGCAAAAAACAAAACAGGCGACTTCAGTTAAAAACATTTCACTTTATTTGATTAAATTCAACTTCACGAGTAAAATGATTTTTTTTTCATATTTTAAGTACAAAAAGCCATTGAAAGATTTTACTTTTACTGAAATTATCATAAAACTTTCTTTATTCAAGTAACGTTAACTTGGCTAGAGTTGAGTTTTTGCAGCATAATGTCTTGATAGTGATAATATTCCTTGTTTTTTTTTTTTAGTTTTTGTATTTTTTTATTTCTATTGCATGAGTCAATCTGTTCCCTGTAGAAAAGCAGCTCTGATTTTGTAATAAAATGTGTTCAGTTTGGAATTTAAACAAAAAAACAAAATAAAATAAAACCATCAATTCAACACTAAGCCGAGGTAAATTAAACTAACAGCTCATTTTCATGCACAGCAAGAAACATTTTTAAAGCTTAAATCTGATTTTCGATTACAAGAAAAGCAAAAAAAGTATCTTCAATTTTTTACAAAACTGAAATTTAAACAGTCCCTTTCCGATCCTCCTCGAGCCACGTGGAAAAACAAACGTCCCAAATCCAAACTTATGCCCGAGTTTCAGAAGAATGGAAAAACCCAGCGCCGTTACCGTGACGATTAACATTTAAAAACTCAATATTACATCGTCTGAACGAGCAAAAGTCCTCAAAATGTCACCGGCTCACGGCTCTCAGCTTCTCTTTCATGGGCGACATTTTGAGAACCGTTCGAAAGATACGAGAGCGTTTGGTTTTAAATTGTTAATTGTGATTCGCCTGAAGTCCTTTTTTTTTTTTGTTTTTTTCATACAGAGCGAAGAGTCTGGTCCAGATTTAAACAACCGTCCAATCAGATTTGGTTATTTCAAAGTCAAAGTCAAAGTAAAACAAAGAACCTCTATTTCGCACTAACATTTTGGACGTTTTATTTAAACATTTTGAAGTTTTTTGGGGTTTTTTTTGCGTCTTTGCTCATTGTTTCCACAGAAATCTGCAGTTTTTTTTTTTTTTTTTTTTCAGTATTTGTTTTGTTACAGACAGACCATTGGCCAATCCACCCGTCAATCAAGAGCTTCTGAAACGGGAGATGAACCAGCGACGAAAAATACTGAAGAAGTGTGTTCTGTTTTGATAATTGTCCTAAAAGACGTTTTTCACAACGGCCGGAAGTGTCTCGCTGTAGGTTTGTGGAACTTCTGGTTAATAATTTCTGTGTAAACGTGTGTCGTTTTCTCCAGCAGCTTCATAAATCTGCCCCATCACCAAATCTCCAACCAACAAACTCCACAAAGGAGAAACACCTTGAACAACTTCATGAACAATTTATCCACAACTATCAGGAGAAGAAAGAACAAAACTTAAAGGAAACGACGACGACACATTAGTCACACAACAAACTCAACTCTTGTTCTGATCCTAGAGACTCTCACATTCCAAGTATCACAAATCTCTCTGTCTACACAAATATCAACATCATGAAATGGATCTTAGAATCACAATGAACATGTTACTTCTGTTTTATTCATGAGCATCAAATGAAACACTAAACACACACCAAGCTGTGAGGTGAAGAGGCACAAATAAAAGGAACAGTAAAATAAAAGTGGAAAAAAAATGCAAAGCTCATTCACATGGCCGATGTTCAAAAGCTTTTTTTTTTATTTTTAAATGATGTTTTGGCAAAAAAGCCTTTGTCAGATCATTTTTCTTGCTTTAGAAAAATTTGGCTTTTTTGCCAAAACGTTATTTTAAAAATTAAAAAAGCTTTTGGACGTGTGTGCTGTGTATTTTTTTCACTTTTATTCACAATCATAACATGAGTTGAGTTTTGTGGCTCGTTGTTTCCTTTTTCTTCTCGATAGTTGTGGATAAATTGTTCATGGAAGAATGGTAGGGCCTGTTTTAAGACCTGGTTTAGTCCTGGTTTAGTTTTAGTCCTGTGTTTTTAGACCTGTTTTAGACCTCCTTTTTAGTCCTGTTTTGTTTTTGTTTTAGACCTGTTTTAGACCTGTTTTAGACCTGTTTTAGTTTTTAGTCCTGTTTTAGTTTTTAGTCCTTTTTAGAGTTTTAGACCTGTTTTAGTCCTGTTTTAGTCCTGTTTTAGACCTGTTTTAGTCCTGTTTTAGACCTGTTTTAGTCCTGTTTTAGTCCTGTTTTAGACCTGTTTTAGACCTGTTTTAGTCCTGTTTTAGACCTGTTTTTAGAAGACCTGTTTTAGACCTGTTTTAGTCCTGTTTTAGACCTGTGTTTTTTAGACCTGTTTTAGACCTGTTTTTAGACCTGTTTTAGACCTGTTTTAGTCCTTTTTAGACCTGTTTTAGTCCTGTTTTAGTCCTGTTTTAGTTCTGTTTTAGACCTGTTTTAGACCTGTTTTAGACCTGTTTTAGTTTTTTAGTTTTAGACCTGTTTTAGTCCTTTTAGACCTGTTTTAGTCCTGTTTTTAGACCTGTTTTCCTGTTTTAGTTTTAGTTTTATTCCTGTTTTAGTCCTGTTTTAGACCTGTTTTAGACCTGTTTTAGAGTCCTGTTTTAGTCCTGGTTTTAGTGGCGAGGGGGGTGTTCACGTTTTTGCAGCTCGGTACTGTTCCCCGGCCCAGCGGTTGGAGACGCCTGGTTCAAAAAAACTTGAAAAGAACGACTTTGACAAACCCACATCCCACTGGGAAAACAAACACGGAGGTTTGATGCTCACTTTTTTCGGAAAACCCTTCCCAGTTTGGATTGCTCGATGACGGGAAGTTCGAAATTGGACACACATTTACGCAAAGTATCAACAAGATCCTAAACCGTTTTGAATCCAATATTGTTAATCGCTACGGCAACGATCATAATTTTCATCATTCTGAAACTTAAAGATAATATGAACAGACTTTTTCCATCGACTGTCTCTTTCTCTTTTTCTTTCTCTTTCTGTTTTTCTTTCAGACCTTCTGCCAGGAGGAGATCTGCAGCCCGGAGAAGAACACCTGGTATCTCCTCTTCCACATGATGAAGCAGGCGGCGGCGCAGACCAGAGCCTGGGCCAGGTTCAGGAGGATCTGGACCAGGAAGAACATGGGCAGGTCCGCGGTCAGGTACCCGCAGTCGTCCACGTCCCGGTAGGTGAAGGTTCGGCCGATGGGGTCCTGGGGCTCCGTGGTGCAGACGCAGTCGGGCCCCGCGCGCTCACACGAGAAGCCCGTCGCCTGAGTGTAGTGATGCCCGGCGAACGCCACCACCAGGACCGAGACGACCAGACCGACGGAGCACAGGATGAAGTACAAGAGCTGGAGGAACAAACGAGACGAGAAACAGAGGAAAGGTCAAATCTGTGGGTCGTTCATTTGTTTTTCAAAATAAAACCAACAAACAAGAAAATAAAAAAAAACTATTATTTTCTTCCTTATTTGTCTCCAAAACCAAAATGAAAAAAACAGATCAAGGACTGAATCAGAACTGAGTGTCGAGTGATCTGGACTGAGACCAGAACCAGACTGGGACCAGACCAGGACCGTGTGTTTGTTTCTCCAGTGCGGCGCTCACCAGTGTTGGGCAAATTACTTTAAAACTGTAAAGGCCCGTTCACACTAAAGCGTCAAAAAACACCTTGACGTTTCTATTTGGAGCCTTTGTGTTTGAGTTCAGACGCCCCCGACGCTCGTGTCTTTGACGCCGTGGACGAACGGGACAAAAATACTTGACGCGCGTCCGTTGCCCTGGAAACAAGATCCGGTCCCGGTCTTTTCCCGAAACAATGTCAGACCAGATTGAGAGACTTTAGTGTTTTTATGACATAAAACATCAGCGGAGGAAATCAGGTCGACGACTGGAGCGGATAAATATTTATACTCCACTAATGACACTGGATCAGTCCCGGTCTGGTCCTGGTCTAATACCAGTCTAGTCCCGGTCTAGTCCTTGTTTAGTCCTGGTCCGGTCCTGGTTTAGTCCTGGTCTGGTCCTGGTGTAGCTGCTCGGTGATTGTGGTGTATATATTTATGCTCTGTTCATGTTTGTGGTTCTCGTTCTGGTTCTCGGGTTTTTCTTCCTGATAATAACGTCGCTGCGTCTCTGGATACTCGTCCCTGATTGGTCGACGCGGCGAGTCTGACGCGAAAAGTTCAGCATTTTCAACTTCTTGACGCTGACGCCTTGGACGCGCGTCTTGGCCGCTGACGCCAAAACGCTCAAGACGCGCCGCGCTGACGCCGAAAACGCCCCGCAAAAACGCAGGACGCTCTAGTCGCGCGTCCACATCGACTTTACATAGAAACTGGACACTTTGACGCCGAGGTGTGAACGAACCTTAATGTGTTATTTATGACGTATTTCAGTCATTACAATATTACTGCATTTAAAATGTAAAACATTATACAAATATTACAGCATTTTTAATTTACTCTCACCAAAATAACTGAGAAGCTGCTTGAACTTTAGTGCCGTATATGGACTGAACCAGGACTAAACCAGGACTGAACCAGGACTGAACCAGGACTGAACCAGGACTAAACCAGGACTGAACCAGGACTGACTGAACCAGGACTAATCTTGGACTAGAACTTGGAACCCCAGTCCACGGAACAGAGTGTGTGTGGCATGGTCGGGCGATGGCTGTGGTTCGCCCAGTGGTGCATGGAGTTCTGCGTCCGGTCCTTTTACTCGCGGTCACCTGACGGTCTACACGGGCACGTCTTTGGCATTTCACTGCTGCTGATGTTGTGATTTTAACGAATTTGTATGAAGAAAAACAAAAAACCCACCACTTCAATCCAGGTTAAAAAAGCTTTGTAACGCGCGATACTCACATTTGTACCGAGTAAAATATTACTATTTGTTTCCCTGTAATGCCACATTACTGCGTTACAGCAGAAGCAATGCAGCACAATAATTCTTTACTTTTATAATACGTTACTCCAAACACTGGTGCTCACTGCAGAGTCTTCACTTCACTACACTGACTGGAGGAGACCACGGTGCTTTGTTTGTGGCTCGGTGTTTTGTTCTTTGGTTGAACCAGTTTCTGTTTTAAAATGTTTGTAGGTTTGAAACAGACCAGGATCTCATGTTGTGTGAAAATCCTCTGTAGTTTTTACACACATTCAGTAGAGATCAGTGTTGGGAGTAACGCGTTATAAAAGTAACGACTTACAGTAATGTGTTGCTTTCTGTTGTAACGCAGTAATGTGGCGTCATATTTAACTCGGTACAAATGGCAGTAACACGCGTTACAAAGCGGTGGGTTTTTCGTTTTTTTCTTCGTACAAATTTGCTAAAATCACGGTGATATCAGCAACAGTGAGTGTGTTTACATCCCGTTTCAATGAATGGTTATCCGGCATGTTTCCACACTCCACTGAGTCATAACACGCATGACCAAACAGTGTGTGCTGCACGCAGTCACTGCACGGTTGCTGCACTCACGGGGCGTACTAGAGCTGCTCACATCGCACAGATTAACGTTTACTTGTGTTTGAATACCATGTTTGGTTTAGACTCTGGTTCAGGTTGATCCTGCACAGTTTGTCACACCTGGTTTATTTGAGTATGAAATGTCATTTGAGTTTAAGACTTGCTGATGTTGGATAGAGTCACTGTGTGTATGTAGTATCACTGAGTTTTAGAGTCCTGGTTTAGACCTGGTTTAGACCTTTTAGACCTGGTGGGTTTAGTTCCTGGTTTTAGAGGTTTAGTCCTGGTTTAGACCTGGTTTAGACCTGGTTTTAGTCAGTCCTGGTTTAGACCTCGTTTAGTTTTAGACCTGGTTTTTAGATCCTGGTTTAGACCTCCTGGTTTAGTCCTGGTTTAGTCTGGTTTCTGGTTTTAGACCTGGTTTAGTCCTGGTTTAGTAGACCTGGTTTAGGTTTAGATCCTGGTTTAGACCTGGTTTAGTCCTGGTTTAGTCCTGGTTTAGTCCTGGTTTAGTCCTGGTTTAGTCCTGATCCTGGTTAGTCCTGGTTTGAGAGAGTGGTTTAGTCCTGGTTTAGTTTACCTGGTTTAGACCTGGTTTAGTCCTGGTTACCTGGTTTAGTTAGTCCTGGTTTAAGTAGTCCTGGTTTAGACCTGGTTTAGTCCTGGTTTAGTCCTGGTTTAGAAACCTGGTTTAAATCACATTACAGTTTTAAAGTCACTTGCCCAACATTGATCAGATTGGAAGTTTCAGGTGATTCTAGTGAAGGTGTGTGGAGTTTAAAAACACGCTGGAGCACTTCCTGTATTTTGACGAGGAAACTGCATTAGAACAGATCAAAGATGAAGTGTAACATCGTCTTTTTGAACCATAATCGTCGTGGTTTTTGCAGCTCGTTGGTCACAGTTGCAGATTCAGACCGTGTGTGGTCTGAGGGACATGTGCTCCGCTAAATGAAGGCTTTTTTTTTTTTTTTTCGTCCAGAAGTGTTTTTAATCAGAAAATCCACAGGCTGATTAGACTCGAGTCTCATGACCCGGAGACAGAGGCCAGACTCAGACTCCAGAGGAACCACAGACACAAAGACACGATTCACCAAAACACAAAACACAAAACGAGAACGAGGACGAGACGCCAAAAACAATGATACAGAAGATCTCAAAATCTGGAGGGAATCTGGTCTCTCTGTCCAGATGTAGTCCTGGTTTAGTCCTGGTTTAGTCCTGGTTTAGACCTGGTTTAGTCTTAGTTTAGATCTGGTTTAGTCTTAGTTTAGACCTGGTTTAGTCCTGGTTTAGATCTGTTTTAGACCTGGTTTAGACCTCGTTTAGACCTGATGTAGTCCTGGTTTAGATCTGTTTTAGACCTGGTTTAGACCTGGTTTAGTCCTGGTTTAGACCTGATGTAGTCCTGGTTTAATCTTAGTTTAGTCCTGGTTTATTCTTAGTTTAGTCCTGGATTAGACCTGATGTAGATCTGTTTTAAACCTGGTTTAGACCTGGTTTAGTCTTAGTTTAGACCTGGTTTAGATCTGTTTTAGACCTGATTTAGACCTCGTTTAGACCTGACGTAGTCCTGGTTTAGACCTGGTTTAGTCCTGGTTTAGATCTGGTTCAGTCCTGATTTAGTCCTGGTTTAGACCTGATGTAGTCCTGGATTAGTCCTGGTTTAGACCTGGTTTAGACCTGATGTAGTCCTGGATTAGTCCTGGTTTAGACCTGGTTTAGACCTGGTTTAGACCAGGTTTAGTCCTGGTTTAGACCTGGTTTAGACCAGGTTTAGTGCTGGTTTAGTCTTCGTTTAGTCTTAGTTTAGTCCTGGTTTAGCCCTAAAATCAGTCCTGGTTCAGTCTTGGTTTAGTCCCGTTTTAGTCCTAGTTTAGACCTGGTTTAGACCTGGTTTAGTCCTGGTTTAGATCTGTTTTAGACCTGCTTTAATCCTGCTTTAGACCTGCTTTAGTCCTGGATTAGTCCTAGTTTAGTCCTGTTTTAGACCTGGTTTAGACCAGGTTTAGTCCTGCTTCAGTCCTGGTTTAGTCCTGGTTTAGTCTTAGTTTAGTCCTGGGATCAATCCTGGTTCAGTCTTGGTTTAGTCCCGTTTTAGTCCTGGTTCAGTCCTGGTTTAATCCTGTTTTAGTCCTGGTTCAGTCCTGGTTTAATCCTGTTTTAGTCCTGGTTCAGTCCTGGTTTAATCCTGTTTTAATCCTGTTTTAGTCCCGTTTTAGTCCTAGTTTAATCCTGGTTGAATCCTGTTTTAGTCCTGGTTCAGTCCTGGTTTAATCCTGGTTTAGTCCTGGTTCAGTCCTGGTTTAATCCTGTTTTAATCCTGTTTTAGTCCTGGTTCAGTCCTGGTTCAGTCCTGGTTTAATCCTGATTCAGTCCTGGTTCAGTCCTGGTTTAGTCCTGGTTCAGTCTGGTTCAGTCCTGGTTCAGTCCTGGTTGAATCCGTGCGGTTCTGTTCTCACTTTGACGCTGTACTGGAGGAAGGAGCGTTCGTCTGGACGGGAGGTGACGCAGTAAAGGACCAGACCCACGATGGAAACAACACAGAGCTGAAACAGAAACGAGAACAGATACAGAGTCAGGAGCTGAAACAGAAACGAGAACAGATACAGAGTCAGGAGCTGAAACAGAAACGAGAACAGATTACAGAGTCAGGAGCTGAAACAGAAACGAGAACAGATACAGAGTCAGGATCAGACGAGCTTCACTTTGTGTTTGTGCAGAAAAACTCAGATGTTAAATAAAAACCACGAACCTCAGAACGAAGACGAGGAAGAAACACAGAAACGAGACAGAAACAGAAACAGAAACAACTACAGATTTAAATTATTGATGATAAAACGTGCAGTGTTTTACAGCCAGTGTTGAGAAGGTGACGATTGTAATCTGATTACTTTGGATTACTTGATTTGCTGAAGAGAAGCAAAGACGAGGAAATCGTAACATTAGAGGAAAAAAAAAAAACTCCAGATTTTACTGAACCAAATAAAAAATATTATTGATAGAAGAAGAAACACGTCCACACAGCAGGATTTAGTCCTGGTTTAAACCTGGTTTTAGACCTGGTTTAGATCTAGTTTAGGTCTAGTTTAGACCTGGTTTAGTCCTGGTTTAGACCTGGTTTTAGTCCTGGTTTAGTCCTGGTTTAGACCTGGTTTAGATCTAGTTTAGACCTGGTTTTAGTCCTAGTTTAGATCTAGTTTAGACCTGGTTTAGTCCTGGTTTAGACCTGGTTTTAGTCCTGGTTTAGACCTGGTTTAGATCTAGTTTAGACCTGGTTTAGACCTGGTTTAGATCTAGTTTAGACCTGGTTTAGTCCTGGTTTAGATCTAGTTTAGATCTAGTTTAGACTTGGTTTTAGACCTGGTTTTAGTCCTGGTTTAGACCTGGTTTAGATCTAGTTTAGAGCTGGTTTAGTTTCCGGCAATAAGTGGAATTACCAAAAGAAAAAAAATGGGGGATTTAGCCCAAAATGTGAAAACAGTAAAATCCCTCTGTGTAATCCATTTATTTCAACAAAGTAACTGTAATCCAATTACCACTCACTGAAACAGTAACTGTAACTGAGTACAGTTACTCATCATTTGTACTCTGATTACATAACTCTGGTACATGTAATCTGTTACTCTACAACACTGTTTACAGCAGAAGAGCCCAAACTTTTAAAAATATTGAGCTCTTTTTGAAGCAGAGCCACAGAGTAGAAGTAGAAGTAGAAGTAGAAGTAGTAGTTGTAGGTTTGCGTGGAGACGGTGGAGACACGTCAACAATATTTGGGGAAGACACAAAGGTTCTGACCAATATTTGACATTTTACTTCAATAAACAAAAATATACATTTATTCCGACATATTTCCAAGCTCAATAGCTTACTCAATAACTTTAACTGAACAGGTTTAGTTCACATTTTGTTTCGTAGACGTTCTGAGGCGTGTCCCTGTCGTCACATCACTGAAGACTCCTGCCGCTGTTTGATTGGCTGTAACAGAGTGATGTCATCAGTGGAGCCAGGAGCCTAAACTGGGGAAGCGGCAGGACAGGGGCGCACCTGAACACGTCGGCTCGAGCAGCGCGAGCGAAGACGCTGCACCAAACTCTGAAAAACTTTACAAAAGGGACTTACTCGACTTCATCTTCAGTTAAACTCGTCTTAAAACGAGTCGCCGCGGAAAAAGAACGACAAGTGCACCTGCCAAACGGAGTCCTACTCGTGCACCAAACGGAGCCCTACTCGTGCACCAAACGGAGCTCCTACTCGAGCGCCAAACGGAGCCCTACTCGAGCGCCAAACGGAGTCCTACTCGAGCGCCAAACGGAGTCCAACTCGACGCAAACGGAGTCCTACTCGAGCGCCAAACGGAGTCCCTACTCGAGCGCCAAACGGAGCTCTACTCGAGCGCCAAACGGATTCCTACTCGAACGCCAAACGGAGTCCAACTTGAGCGCCAAACGGAGTCCTACTCGTGCGCCAAACGGAGTCCTACTCGTGCGCCAAACGGAGTCCTACTCGAGCGCCAAACGGAGTCCTACTCGTGCGCCAAACGGAGTCCTACTCGTGCGCCAAACGGAGTCCCTACTCGTGCGCCAAACGGAGTCCTACTCGAGCGCCAAACGGAGTCCTACTCGTGCGCCAAACGGAGTCCGACTCGAGCGCCAAACGGAGTCCTACTCGAGCGCCAAACGGAGCTCTACTCGAGCGCCAAACGGATTCCTACTCGAGCGCCAAACGGAGTCCAACTTGAGCGCCAAACGGAGTCCTACTCGTGCGCCAAACGGAGTCCTACTCGTGCGCCAAACGGAGTCCTACTCGTGCGCCAAACGGAGTCCTACTCGTGCGCCAAACGGAGTCCTACTCGAGCGCCAAACGGAGTCCTACTCGAGCGCCAAACGGAGTCCTACTCGAGCGCCAAACGGAGTCCTACTCGAGCGCCAAACGGAGTCCTACTCGAGCTCCGTGAGATCCCAACTCTACTGACAATATTCCACAGAAACATTTACAGACGTGACCTCACAAATATCTCATCACCAACAAGCAAAGAGAAATCTGCTCCAATATGATGATGTGATGATAAATGAACTGATAAATGTTTGAATGAAGCTTAAGCAGAGAAGTGTCAGGTTCACGTCTGAACTCTGGAGGAGCAGCTCATGGACTGTAAATCATTCTTACTGTTTTGTCTGTTTTCTTTCTGTTTTTTTAAAATGTTCTAGATCATTGTTTCCCAAAGACTGGGTCAAGAACCTCAGGTGGGACCCACTGGAGTCTGAAATAAAGCTGGATTGATTTAATATTGAACTCTGATCTCAGGTCTGTGTCAAGCTGTGATGTTGATGAAGTAACGGAGGTAGAAGTACTTCAGTTTGGAGTAAAATCTTCAGCCTGTGATGATTCGGCCCAGTTCATGAGAAGGTCTGAGTCTGAGGGTCTGGAGCGTCGCGTTTCTCACCATCTGATGTTAATAATAGAATTTTATTGATCCGAGTGTGAAAAAAAAAAAAAAACATGTCAGGACACGAGCCGAGGATAAAACAGAAGAACACGAACGGCTTCGGGTCACGGCTTCGGGTCACGGCTCCGGTTCACGGCTCCGGGTCACGGCTCCGGGTCACGGCTCCGGGTCACGGCTCCGGGTCACGGCTCCAGGTCAGGGTTCGTGTTTCCAGATGACGATGAGAAGAACAAAATCGCAGTGTTTCAATAAATTAAATCAAAAACAGTTAAAATAAATAAATAAACAAAAACAAAAACCTCACAGGAGCAAAGGAGCCAGAGCTTCATATTCACACACACAGACACACACACACACACACACACACACACACACACACACACAACAGACACACACACACACACACACACACACACACACAACACACACACACACACACACACACACACACACACACACACACACACACACACACACACACACACACACACACACACAGAGGAGACACTGTGGCGTTTGACAGGAGATGTGCAGAAGTTCAGATTCTCACGCCATTTTTATTACTCTCAGTGTGTGTGTGTGTGTGTGTGTGTGTGTGTGTGTGTGTGTGTGTGTGTGTGTGTGTGTGTGTGTGTGTGTGTGTAGTTGTGTGTGTTTTGCATGATTCAGCAGAAAAGTGTCATTTGATTACATTACTCTGCTTCATGACTCTTGCTCCACCTCTCTCTCTCTCTCTCTCTCTGTCTCTCCTCATCCCTCTTGTTCCCTCCCTCTCCTCCGCTCTCTCTCCTCTCTGTCTTTCCCTCTTTCTCTCTCCCCTCTCTTCCCTTCTGTCTCTCTCTCCCCTCTCCACTTCCTATTCCTCCTCCTCCTCTCCTTCTCCCTCTCTCTCTCCCTCCTCCTCCTTCTCTTTTCTCTCACTGTCTGTCCCTCTTTCTCTCTCTCTCCCTCTCTCTCCCTCCTTCTTTCTCTCCCTCTCTCCTTCTCCCCCGTCTGTCCCTCTCTCCCCTTCTGTCTCTCTCCCTCCTCTCCTTCTCTCTCTTTCCCTCCTCTCTCTCCTCTCTGTCACACTCTCTCTCTCTCTCTCTCTCTCTCTCGCTCCCTCTCCTCCTCCTACTTGTCCTCCCCATCTCCCTCTCTCTCTCTCTCCACCTCTCTTTCTCTCTCTCCTCCTCGCTCCCTTTTCTCTCTCTGTCTGTCTGTCCCTCTCTTCCCTTCTGTCTTTCTCTCTCTCCCCCTCCTATCCCTCCTCCTCCTCTCCTTCTCTCCCTCTCCACCTCCTATTCCTCCTCCCCTCCTCCCTCTCTCCTTCTGTCTCTTCTCTCCTCCCTCTCTCTTTCTCTCTCTCGCTCTCTCTTTCTCTCTACCTCCCTTTCACCTCCTCTTTCTCTCTCTCTCCTCTACTATCTCTCCTCCTCTCTCTCTCTCTTTCCCTCCCTCTCTCTCTCTCTCTCTCTCTCTCTCCTCCCTCCCTCTCTCCCTCTCTCTCTCTCTCTCTCTCTCCTCCCCTTCCCCTCCCTCTCTCTCTCTCTCTCTCCTCCCTCCCTCTCCCTCTCTCTCTCTCTCTCTCTCTCTCTCTCTCGTCAGCGTTCGTCGGTCTTGTGACTAACGTGCCGTTTCTTATTTAAGTGTTTTTTTTTCTCAGGTTTGTCTGGAAGTTTCTCGATGACCTCAGTGTTTTTCTCCTCGTCTGCGTCTCGTGAGCTCAGACCTCGAGACGTCCTCGTCCGTCCTCGAGACGTCCTCCGTCCTCGCTTCTCCTCTGTCCTGATCCCAACGTAAACAACATCCAGCCCCTGACCTCTGACCTCTGCCCTAAGAGCCACGGCGGACCTGGACCTGGACCTAAACTTAAACCTAAACCTAAACCTAAACCTGAACCTAAACTTGAACCTGAACCTAAACCTGAACCTAAACTTAAACCTGAACCTAGACCTGGACCTAAATCTAAACCTGAATCTAAACCTAAACCTGAACCTGAACCTATAAACCTGAACCTAAACCTTGACCTAAACCTGGACCTAAACCTGGACCTAAACCTAAACCTGAACCTGAACCTAAACCTGAACCTGAACCTGAACCTAAACCTGAACCTGAACC